TGATTTTAATTATAGAGGGTTTATTGCTTTTAAACCAGTTCTAGAATCAGGAAGTGGGGTTGTAGAGGAAAATACATGTCCAAAGGTTAAAAGGTGTTTACACCATATTTTAATTATTTTTGTGTTATAGTTTGACTTGTTATTTTATGATTTATATTGGGCTTATAAATTAATTATCCTTAAAAATATTAGAGACCCATAATTAGTTAATTAATAGCTAAGTAAATATACTCAGAATTAATAGGAGGTAGTTAACAAAAGGGATCAAGTAACGGTACACATGATGCACAATGATGAAGAGAAGTTATCTGAGTAGTTGAGATGTCGTGTGTGTGAAAGTGTTAACCTCTAAGTGTGTATAAAGCCAAGCTCAAGCATAGAATGTTCCCCCAACAATCAACTCCAAAAAATCAAACTCAATATCAAACTCAACTACAATTTTTTAAACAAATAATAATTTCTATTTCGTTTTTGTTCATCGTAATTTTCTTTTGCAAGTATTCTCAATTTGTCTTTGCAATTGCAATCACTGTCAATACAGTATTTTTAATTCAAGCAATCTCTTTATTTTATAAAATTTTTACAAAATTTATTTTTCAAGCACTGTCAAATTAATTTCTTGCAATTGGTGAAGCGTTATCGTGGAGCCAAAACCCTTCAGTCTTTTGATTAAAAAGTTCAGGTGACTCAATTTATCCTAAAGTTGGTAAACTTCAATACCTAGCACGCTCAAGCAGTTAGGTAGCTGTAATTGTTTTACAGTGCGAACAATGGGAAATTTAATAGTTATGTCTATGTGGATTCCATGTGGCAAGTTGATTTAAAGCTCTTTTATGCCACGTCATCTACCACATGTGAAAAAATAGTCCCACGATTACACAATTGTGTTTTCGACGAGACAAATCAAATTGAGACACTAAAATACAAATTTCAAAAAGTTCATATACTCAATTGATAGTGTTTTCTGTTCAAACACCAAAATAGAAAAAAAAAAATGAAAAGTTCAAACATTGAAGTTAAAATTATCCCTTTCATATGTAAGGTTTAATAAAGAGTATAAAATAAGGGAGCCACCAAATAGAAGCAGAGAGTGTAATTTGCTAGCACCTCTAAAGACATGTTTTCTCGATTCTCTAAAATCGTTTTAGAGTTTTTTGATTATTTGTTCGTGTAGATATAATTAGAATAAGACAATTGATCGATTTATAGCTTGCGACAATCCAGCCGTGAAGAGCAGTATTGCCACATAGTGGAAGGATCAAATTCAAGGTATTCTTTTTAAATGAACTTTTATTACCTTATTTGTTTAAACGAATCCTATTGGCATAATAAATAGATATGTCCTTATTTTACCATTGCGTTTATATTATGTTAAATCCCAACATATATTATTTTTTATTTTAATGTACTATATAAATAAAAAAATCAATTAAGTTTTTTTCTAAATAATGTGCAATAAAGATTATTATGCTTAAATACTTACTAGTATCTTTTAATATGCTTTGCACATTATTTATACTCATTGATACTCGGTGCACTTGTTACATTTACTATTTTAAAACATATAAAATAAATGCATTAAAATATAACATTTAATTATATAATAAATTTTTAAAAAAGAATTAATAGATGTTTTCAAAAAAAATAAGAATTAATAGATAAAAGTTAATTTCTTCTAAAAAAACATAAAAAATTAGTTAAGAGATTAAGAGTAAAACAATTAATTAATATCTCTAAAAACAAAGGAGAATGATAAAGCAAAGAATTTTTATTAATTGAACTCTATTAATAAATTGTAGTAAATTAATAATAATAATAATAATAGTCAAGAAAGGGAGAAAAAGGAATTCAGTTATAATAATTAATAAAAATTATATGCTTACATGCAGTTCACATAATCCTCATTATTGCCTAAGAACGTAATATATGTTTTGACTTGAGAGCTTATGCGTCCCTTCGTTGTATTAGAAGAAATTTTTTTCTTTAGACTCAAAATAGTCTAAAAAAATTAGTCTAAGTTCATTAAACAAACTATTTATATTAGTCTAAAGAAATAAACTCATTGTAGAAGTAGCAAAGGGGTTTTTAATTTTTCTCTAATCTTTTTTTCTCTAGGGTTTATTTCTTATATATGTAGTAATACATTCTTTAATTATTTTCACCAAGTTTTTAATTTTTTTAATATTTATTCTTTAATTTTTTTAAATATAAAATTAAAACCTTTAAAAATATTTTTTCATCTCTAAATTTAATAAGAGTATCTTGGTTAATCCCAATATTTTTCTTTCCTATTCATTCTTTTATATATACTAGTTCTTTTTAGGATGTGCAACGCATATTGACTATACTCGTTATATGCTCATTTTTTATACTTGTTTAGCTTGTTTATTTATATAATTAAACTATAAATTCTCATTTAGATTGCAATAAATATAGTGATTTTTATATATACAGTAAAATATTATTTTAATTATATATCTTACACTGTAATATCTCATTGAAAAAAATGATATATTTATTTCTCTCTTTAAAATAGCAATTTAAATATGAAATATGCCATTTATATTCTTTTCAACATACTTATTCATATAGCTTTTATTATATACTATTTGCTTTTATTTTTTTGTTTAAGTACTAAATTGATTTGTAAAAATCATCATATAGCTTTTATTGTACGTTTTACAATTAATTTACATATTTTGTTAATAAATTTCATTATAATCTCTTTTAGTAAATAAATATACTTTAATAATAGAATAAGAAATTAATCTAATAAATTAAATTAAATATTTATAAATAATAATAAACTTTATTTTCATTGTTTAGCCAATCAAAATCATAAAATCATTTAATTGTTTAGCCAATCAAAATCATAAAATCATTTAAAAAAATTATTATTAAAATCATATTCCTTAATAAAAAGAATAGAATTTGAATTAAATAAGATATTAATATAATTAATCAAATTCGAGATGTTTAAAAATAATAATTTTTTGTCTTATTTTTTTGCCAACCAAATTAGAGTGCAATTTGTAATTAAGAAATTTAACCATATTCTTTTTAAATCAAAATCTTAGTTATCTAGGTATATTTATTTAAAATTCAAAAAAAAAAATGACTATGACTAAAGTTATTTAGAATATCTTAAATTTTACAAGAACAATATAGAAAATCTCATTATTCCCCCTCTCTTCATTCCCACTTTTATATATAATATGGATAAATAGATAGATATATTATAGATTATAAATTTATCTTATTATCTATTAAGTTAAATAGAGCTAGAGCAAAATAATATATATAATAAATACTAAAAATATGTAATATGTATTTAGCTCTAACATTTAATTTAAATCCTAAAGTGAATAAATTTAAAATATATATATTAAATAAAAGAATATTTAATTTTTATGTATAGCCTTATTATGTAACATTAAAATAATTACAAATAAAATATATTTATTAATTTATAGTTAACGTTAATTATCATTAAGCATAATATTTAAAATAAAATTGAATTGGTATATAGTTAACCTTAATTATCTATTGAAGTTCAATCATAGAGTTTCCTTATTGGTTTTTCCTCCGTCCCTCCACACTTCCAGTTAGCTCTCTTTTGATGAATAAGATATAGAAATCTATCAGTTAAGTCATTACTAATCGTGATTACGAAGCTATTGGATTATTGTTGGTCAGCTGGCGTAAGCGTTGGTCAGTCGTGCGATAGGTGGTCCGGCAAATGTGGTCTCAATAATCAATAGTCTCTATTTATTATTATGAATTGGCAAAATGAGTTTTTCTTTAACTTATTGAATAGTAGTTGACATAAGATTCGGATATCTTTCATAATATAAATTTAATTAGTCATTAATAACGTTATTTTAAAACATTTAAAATTTTACTAAGGGTATTATAGGTAATCTTATTATTCACCCCATCATTCCTACTTTTACATATAGTATAGATCACTATTATTATAAATTAAAATTTCTAGTTTAAATACAAATAGAAACTCTTTAATTAATATAATAAAAATATCTTAGTGAATAATTATTAAATATATATTTGAATTTCTAATACAATTTTTTTTCCACTATATTTATGAATTCTCTACTTTAATGGAAATTACTAAATAAAATATATATGAATTCATATATAAACATATATATCAATTAAAATTAAAATTTTAATTGAATATTTTAAAGTGCTTTCAATAGGATCGAATATAATTTATAATTTACTAATAATAAATAATAAAATAAAAATATATTATATATATATTTCTACTCATTTTTATAATATATCTTTATATTAATTTTTATACGTACTCAAAAATATATACATTTTTATTTAATGAAACCTAAGGAATTAATAAGTTAATACAATGCTACGTTGATTGAATAAAAATTTTCTATGTTGTTCATTATCTCACATGATTACTATATGCAATTGAATTATAATTATATATCATATTATATATATAAGAAATATAATATTAAAAATTATTTCTATTAATTTTGTAAATAAGAGAAAGTTAAAGATATATTTACTTTACGAGAATGATACATGATTGTAACTCAAATTAATTTCAAATTAAGCAAACTTGATGTAACAATTCATCGCCAATTACTCAGGAGACAAATTACCTTTAGCTAAATTGTTATAATAAATAAATCATTACTCCTTTCCCTTTGCTAAATTTGTAATAAATAAAGTCATTACTCCTTTGGGCATTAATAATTTAGTAGTTTCTTCTCTTGTTATCCAAACTTTACTCTGTCTCTGAGTGATCCACACTTAATGAAAGCCCTCTCTTTGGATATTCAAAGCTCTGGCTATGACATGTTGCCTGGATCTGAAAATATCATTTTGATATACAGAATTCATTATAAGGCAATGAATACAGTCTTGCCAAATCTCAGAGAAGAAACTACTAAATTTCCCTTTGCTAAATTTGTAATAAATAAAGTCGTACAAGAGGAAATAATGATAGAGGAATTATGCAAGCCATAGTTGCGGGATTTGCAGGCCAACTGAAAGGTTGGTGGGATTTCTCGTTAACTCAAGAAGGAAAGAATCAAATTATTAATGCTGTGAAAAGAGAAGAATATGTTGATGCAAATCAACAAAGACAAATAAGAGAAACCCCTGAAGCAGTGAATACTTTGCTATATACCATAGGATTACATTTTATAGGATCTACCACGATGCATTTAGATAGATCCCATGAACAGCTCATGAATTTACGCTGTCCTGATTTATCTCATTTTAAATGGTATAAAGATGTTTTTCTGATAGCTGTCTTAGCTCGTGAAGATAGTCAGTATGATTTCTGGAAAGAAAAGTTTATTTCTGGATTACCTTCGCTTTTTGCAGAAAGGGTTAGGAATAAACTTAAAGAAAGAAATAATGGTATTATACCATACCATACTTATACGTATGGGGAATTAGCTTCCGAAATAGTGACAGAAGGATTAGCCCTATGTAATGAAATCAAAATACATAGGCAAATGAAAAAAGACAAATTAACAGGAAAAAGAATGTTAGGAGATTTTTGTGAACAGTTTGGGTATGAACCTCTATGGAAATCTTCTAAGAAAAAAGAAAAATATAGACGTCCTTTTAGAAAAACAAGAAAAGAAAAATATTATGAAAAGAAAAAGGAGTCTAGTACAAAGGGCCTAAAGAAACATCAGAAAACAGGTCAGAAGGCAAAACGAAAAGATAAATCTCAAATTGCCTGTTATAGATGTGGGTGCATAGGACACTATGCTAATAAATGTAGACTGAAACAACAGATACAAGCTTTAACGATAGATGAAGAGCTCAAGAATTCTTTAGCAAAAGTATTCATTAATGACACTGATTCCGAAAAGGAAAATGAAATAAATGTTGTAGATTATACAGAAGAATCTGACCAAGAAGTTCTGTCAAATAAACATTCTGATTGTGATGGTCAATGTGACTATTACAAATCACTATGTGCTATGAATGGTTTATATGTGCTAACCAAGAAAGATACATTAATTTTAGATCTTATTGATCAACTTCCAGATGATCAGAAGAGGCAACAATTATAAACATATTTAACTTTACAAGATGATAAAGCCTCAACATCTCAAGAAACGCCACTTCTAAAGAAATTAGAAGATAAGAATCCTGTTTACAATATTCAAGAAATTTTTGAACGAATCAAAAACACGAAAGCCAATAGAGAACCAACTCTTAAAGAATTAAGAGGAGAAATGAATCAAATGAAAATTGAAATTCAGCAATTAAAAGATAGAGTGGCTTTTTTGGAAATATTAAATAAAGATGATTATGAAGAACCACCAATGCCACCCGAAATTAATCAACTACAATATGTTAATCTGGTAGATAAAGTCATCACCCAGAAGTGGCATACTAAAGTCACTATTGTTGTGCATAAAGAATATATTTTTGAGACAATAGCCTTAATCGATTCAGGTGCGGACTTGAATTGTATTAATGAAGGCTTAGTTCCATCAAGATATTTTGTGAAAACAGTAAATATTTTGTGAAAACTTTGTGAAAACAGTCGAAGAATTAAATACTGCGGATGGAAGTAAAATGACAGTCCGCTACAAGCTACAGAATACAGCAATATGTAATAAAGGAATTTGCTTTCAATTGCCATTTATAATGGTAAAAGGGTTATCTCATCCAGTAATCCTTGGCAATCCTTTTTTGCATATGTTATATCCAATCAAGAAAATATCGGAGCAAGGTATTACGACAGAACTCGAAGGTCAAGAAATTACCTTCAAATTTATTACTCAACCGAGAATTAAAGAAATTGATATGATCAAAACAAAAGTAGAAAAGAAACAAAAGTTTTTATTGTCTTTAGCTCAAGAAGTAAAAGGTCGAGATATTCAAGAAAAAATAGATACAAAATATCGAGCTCAAATTAATGAAATACAAAAGAAAATAGAAACAACGATTTGTTTAGAAAATCCGATTGCTTTCTGGGCACGTAAAAAGCATATTGTCACTTTGCCCTATGAGCCGGATTTTAATAAAAGAAACATACCAACAAAGGCCCGGCCCATTGCTATGGGGCCTCGACATTTAGAAATCTGTAAAAAAGAAATTGCTAGCTTGCTAGAAAAGGGCCTAATTAGACCCAGTCAAAGCCCATGGAGTTGCGCAGCCTTCTATGTGGAAAATAATGCAGAATTGGAACGTGGTGTTCCAAGACTCGTTATTAATTATAAACCACTAAATAAAGCTCTGCGTTGGATTCGCTATCCGCTCCCCAATAAAAGGGATTTGCTAAATCGCCTTTATAATGCTCAGATCTTTTCAAAATTTGATATGAAATCAGGCTATTGGAAAATTCAAGTGGCAGAGCAAGATCGATATAAAACCGCATTTACCGTTCCATTTGGACAGTATGAATGGACCATTTGGACAGTATGAATGGAATGTAATGTCGTTCGGTCTCAAGAATGCTCCCTCTGAATTTCAGAAGATAATGAATGATATCTTCAATCCATATACGACCTTTTCGATAGTCTATATTGATGACGTACTCATTTTTTCAGAAAATATAGAAAAACATTTTAAACACTTAAATATTTTCATCAATATAGCACAACAGAATGGCTTGGTCGTTTTTGCCAAAAAGATAAAACTTTTTCAAACTGCTATTCGTTTTTTAGGACATAATATTTCTAACCAGACTATTATTCCTATTAATCGTGCTATTGAGTTTGCAGATAAATTTCCTGATGAAATTAAAGGATAAGGACTCAACTACAGCGATTTTTAGGAAGCCTTCAATTTATTGTCGTGATTTTTATTCCTGTTATTTGGCTCAAGATGCAAAGCCATTATTTGAAAGGCTAAAGAAAACGCCACTTGTCTGGAACAGAAGAGCATACCATGCTGCTTAAAGAAAATTTTAGCTGTAAAGAAAATAAAGTCAAAAGTAAAAACAATTCCTTGTCTGGCCATACCACATCCAGATGCTTTTAAGATAGTGGAAACTGACGCATCCAACATTGGATACGGAGGAATCCTAAAACAGCGCCTAGATCAAAAGGAATCATTAGTACGTTTTACTAGTGGAGTCTAGACTGGCCCACGAGTCAAATACTCGACAGTGAAAAAAGAAATCTTAGCAATAGTACTTTGCGTTCAAAAATTTGAATCGGACTTACTAAATCAAAAGTTTCTGATTCGAGTAGATTGCAAAAGTGCTAAAGATATTCTCTTTAAAGACGTAAAGAATATCGCGTCTAAACAAATCTTTGCACGTTGGCAAGCGATTTTATCTGTGTTTGATTTTGATATTGAATTCATTACAGGAGAAAATAATTCTTTACCTGATTTTCTAACAAGAGAATTTCTTACAGGAACAGTCTCCATTAATGAGTTGCAAAAGAAGGCTTGCTGAAACTTCCAGCCGAGCTCAAGATCCTGAAAAGCCTCGGCCTGATGCTTATGAAGCTAGCATCCTGAATTCCTCTGATGATGGTCTTCCATTAATACCAATAAATCATAATGTCTTAGTTCCTATCGCTAAAGAACATAGCCTCATGATTCCGCATGAAGTAGCAAAATATTATACGAAAAATCACTTTACTAATCCTTTTTTGCCTAAAGATTATCTCTATTATCAGGCTATCCTCGAAGCGACAGGCTCAGTCATATTCACTCTTACAGTTCGAGGAGAAGGTGAATGGGCATACGGTAAGTTTGTCATAAAACGAGTTTTCTCTTATGAAGATTGGGGAACCGATTTATTTCAAACTAAAGAACTCCATCATGGCAGACCAAGGTATTTTAATTATTTTGATTATATTGATGCCTGGTCAGGTGCCCTTTGTTACGATAACCGACAAAGAAAATTTAGTTGGCGATTTATTCAAACTAAAGAACTCCATCATGGCCAGGACCAAGGTATATTTAATTATTTTGCAGATGATATTATTCGTATGCTCTGGTCATGGTAGTCTTTGTTTACTCGTATTAACTCGGACAAAAGGGAAGAGTTCTAAGTGTCGAATTTATCTGTCTTTAACCTAGTCGCGGCGACATAAAGAAAAGAATGGGATATTGTCCACCTTCTGAGGAATTTCAAGAATGGTTTTCAACTCACCTGGCGGGACTTTTCCAATAGCTATTGCCGGACAAAATAAGAACCCTATTGATACAATATCTGTAGACATGAACACGTTTTCCCTTTTAATCCAATGCATTAACATTTACCCGTTTTGGCATATAACAATACCATGGTTATTACTTTAAAATTGCGGCGTTCTACTCTACACTGATCAGGATTGTGCCATTCATAAGATACAATTAAAACTTTGTGACATTACGATGACTAGAGTTGTGATAGTTTCCTAAGAGGCTAGTCAGGACGAGTTTCTATTATAAGATGGTTGGACAAGAATGTTAATCTTTTTCAACCTCTCTGATCAGTTTTTGATGCATAGGCGAGAAGGACCATAATAATTGATTTTTGCGAAAAAATCCCTGCCTATTTGAACTCTCAACGGAAATCAGTTAAGGAAGTCCTTACCTTCTTCCCACTGACATGTATTTCTCACTGTTTTAAAAGACAAGTTTAACGGCAAATATTCCTTAAAAGAAGACAGTTATGGAAACCAATTTTTTATTTAAATTTTTGGTTGGAAGAGTTGAACTTTATTTTTTTCCCCAAATTTCCAGAGAAAAAGTAATAAGCTTGATATGTCCTTCTAAATCTAGGCTCATATTGATCGCCTCTATAACAGAAAAGGAGATAGCCTCCGAAGATTACCACTGTACTACATACTGACTTAGGGTGACACAATGCAACCTGAAATTGATATTACTGTTACAATAATTGACAAATGCCAGTGGACCCACCTATGACCTTTTCATAAAGCAGGAACCACCTGGCAATAAGAACATCTTATTGCTACTTTGGCTAAAGAAACCAAGATGCAAGAACTTTATACATTTTATCGTTGCTAAAAGCAAGTCCTAAGCAACTTACTCTCTTTCTGACGCACACAAACCTGACGTCAGAATGTATTCTCGTTATATATGGTGTATGTTAATTATATAGCCTTTAGTGGTTGATTGTTTTGGGCAATCGTAAATAGAAAAAGAAGCTCTCTCTTTTGTAAGGTAGTGTAATAGCTCTTCTATCCTATGCAAAAAAGCATATTAAGCGCCTCTAAACTAATGAGTGTGAGCAGTAACATCTTAGAATATTTTTATTATGATAGCCTTATCTTGTATGCGGAACTCCGCGATCAAGTTAGCTGATATAGTACTATCCACTAGGAGATCTTTGTCTCGCTCCCCCCTGTAATATAATAAAGGAAAAGCTATCTTTCTTCATCCAGCAGGTAACGGTTAATCATTTTTCGATACTTTAGTTCTTCATCCTTCCTGCTTAATTTGCTTCGCTAACTTTGTGTTGGCTTTGAATTTAACTACCTTCCTTAACAAATATCAGTTCTTTTCTCGTCAAGAAGTCACTAAGAATTAATTGGTATTTGTCTCTAGTTGGGGAAGAACATATCGAATACACATAATCAAATATCATGTAACGGTGTGAAGAAACTGACGTTTATTTAAAGCACTGATTAATTACCCTTATTTGTACGCTGTCCGTATAGTCAAACTTTTCAAATTTAAATAAATAAAAATAACAGATATAAATTGAGAAAAATGCGTGTCTACCGCCTGGGCGAAAGATGGTAAACTCAGCAGATAATTTAACTAAACGCAAATATAATAAACGGGTAACGTTGTCTCGCAGTCAAGATTATGCATGATGACTACTGCGAAGTCCTCCTTTGAAAGCTGAATTAATTATTATTGATTGTATTCCAGCCGGATATTTAATGTTACATATAATTAGCATAAAGCCTTGAATTGGCAACAATTTTTTAAGTTTAAGCAACAAATGATGTTGGATAGCTGTGGAAAAGCCCAATTTAAATTCGCCACAAAGGCGGTATATCTACCTGAATGAACTTGCTGCTACGACGGGGGGGTAAATTACGAACCAAATTATATTAGCCTAGATAAGAAATGAGATTTATCAATATTTGCTTAATATTAAATACAAGTATTAAAATAATACAATTAAATTGGATCTCTATCGATATGTAAGAAAGTATATTAAAGAATTCTCATGAATGTTTCTAATTAAAATGAGAATTAAATGTATATATCATTAAAATATCATAATCTAAATAGAGCGTACTGAAATTGACCATCTCCAATCAACTAATCAAAATTAAAAGTTAAGAGCAGCATTTTAGGAAAGACCCTATGTTCCTCTTATCTATTTTCGTTAACTTTTTAAACTATATATGGTATAGATAGATTATAGACTTTACAACCAAAAAAACCTGTGTGAGAGTAAACTTCTTATACTCCATATTTCATATTACCTAATTATATTATAATCTACCTCCTCTATATTTCATTAATATATACAATTTAAATAGTTACCCATGTGGAGGGGCCATTTGCCATGTAAATCTCCCAGGTTGGGAAAGCAGACCACATTATCATCATATTTTCGGCTCGCGTAGTCTTAGTTCCTAAGAGTCCACGGACTACACTCAATAATATCAAACATATATATCCGGGTTGCATATATCTACCATCATTAAATATCTTCTCTCCTATTTACCTATTATACTATACTAATTCCCTCTATTATTCACTATTTCGTAATATGATATTCATATTTTTTTATTTATATTATTATATATAGAGCTATTGTTAATAACAGCCAAAAAGCCAAATGTAAATAATTTAATATCTGATAAATGAAAACTCAATAATATCTCATCCATCAATATAAAATCACATATATATTCTACCACTTTATCTCTATATATATTATCTTGATGAGTGGGCCATATGGGACTGCCAGTTCTAGCTCAATGAGAAGTTCTCGATTCTCTTTAGTGCTTGGTAATATATGGTCCCTCAAATATCCATATGTAGATTCGGAATGTCAACATTCAAGCAGTTCAAATCAATATATGATGCCCTATCCGCATATCCCTTTATATATTCGCGGCATTATTAGTTAAGCATATCGCTCTTTTCCCTTTGTAATGCGCTCCCAATTCAGTCCGATTTGCTCAGTAAGCGTGCAATACATGTGTCTTGATTTTGGAAAAACCTGTGATCTTCTATATATAGTCAACTAATTATACATAGGCTTATATAGAAACATAACAAGAATGTTAAATATACCCGGAGCAATTACCATACTGCTGCATATTATGCTTTTGGTCCAAACACTATTAAACTCAGGTTTACCGAAATTAAATCCTGTACGCTTCACTTCCCTCCATATAACCTAATTAGAATATGATTAAAATATTTTACTTGTCAATCTAATAATATCAAATAAAATTAAAAGATTATATTATATTTAGATCTGATAACCTAAGCACTAGAATCTTATTTTAATTAATTATTTTTTAATCCATCGTAAGTATGTAGCGGGCCGTTTTGAAACTCCGCGTGATATATAGAGCTATGAATACAGAAAAACAAATTAAATATTTAATATTGTATAAATCAAATATCCATCAAATCAAATAAAATATATACTAAATTATCCTATAATATAATTGATGAGGGCATATGGACTCAGTCTAGCAATGAGAAGTTCTCGATCTCTAGTGCTTGGAATAATGTCCAATATCCATTGTGAATGAATGTCAATCAAGCAGTCAAATCAATATGATGAATGCCTATCGCATATCGGTTTTATATCGCGGCTTATTAGTAGCATATCCGCTCTTTCTTTGTAATGCCTCCCAATCAGTCCGATTTGCTCAGTAACGTGCAATACATGTGTCTTGATTTTGGAAAACCTGTGACTTCTAATATATCAACTAATTATACATAGGCAATATATAGACAAAACAAAGAAGTTAAATATACGGAGCAATACATATGCAATTAGTTGCAAAATATAAACTCTAGGTTTACCGAATTAAATCTTATACTAATTAGAATATGATTAAATTATTTTTATTGTCAATAAAATATCAATAAAATTAAAAGATTTATAATTACAATAAGACTAAATTATTTTTAATAATATTTTTAATCCATTAGAGTATGTAGGGGCGTTTTGAAAATCCAATATCCCTATTCGTACTTTTATATATATTATTAATTATTAATAATTAATTATTATAGATATAGATAAATAAATAATTTGAAAAAATATTAATAGTTATATTTATGAGATTAATGGAATTTAAATATAATATAAATATAATTCATACGAAACAGCTTTAAGGAACTCATAAAACATTATTTTCAAAAAAGAAAAAAACTACTTTAAAACAATCTTCATGGAACGAGGAACTATTGAGAGTTTTATCAACTGTCAACTATCACTCGCCGGAGAAAGCTTACCAACCAAACAACCTCAAAATTATATTATTAAACATTTCAACTTGTAAAATCGTTTTATTCAACATTAAATTTATAAATTTAACTAATTAAAAAATAAAAATATTATTGCTATAAAATTATGAATAACTGCACATCAAACCAATAATTTACATATAGTAAATCAAATAAACTTCACTTGATTTTTTTTTTTTTCATATAAAAACCGTCGATAGTATGGAAAGTATACAACGGGTTAAAGTGAATAAATTGGACAGTGTGTATATAATACATGTTTTTATATAGTAGGAGCTAAATTCCGCATCGGCTGATCCACCTTCTGTCTTGGGGGCTTCTAGGGTTTTATTGACTAGCAAAACCAACAATCACATGGCGGGGGCTGGAATCCATCCATACCACCAGCAGTGGCCGCCGGCAGCTGCTCCTCCGCCTCCACCCGCTGCGGCGGCTGCGGCTCCTCCCCCATCTGTCCACCATGCGCCTCCGGTCCTTGTTGACAATAGTAACCGTGGTCCTACGCATGATGAGGTAACTGTCTGTGTCAATCAATCAATTAATCTTCTAAATGTCCAAAAGTAATAATTACAATTGAAATTGCTGCGCTTAGGTTCGAACAATATTCATAACTGGACTTCCTGAAGATGTGAAGGAGAGAGAATTGCAGAACTTACTGAGATGGCTTCCTGGTTATGAGGCTTCTCAAGTTAACTATAAAGGAGAAAAGCCTATGGGTTTTGCTCTCTTCTCCACTGCCCAGCTTGCTATTGCAGCCAAAGACGCTCTTCAGGTTTGCCTATCTTATGCAACTCATCTCAATACTTGACTTGTTAATTTCGATGGATATTACTTCAAATTTACTTTCTTCTTCTTTTCTCTCTTCTCAAATTTTATAGGATATGGTTTTTGATGCGGAATCTAAGTCTGTGTTGCATACAGAGATGGCTAAGAAGAATCTCTTTGTTAAAAGAGGTGAGATTCAATGCTTCTTTTTCTTCAATTTTGACATCAAAGTTTATCATTATTGGTTGTTGAGTCAGGCTTTATAATTGCAAAGCACGGAATTTGTTGTTTCTATTTCTAGAATAACAAAATCCTCTGCTTTCATGGTGTTTGCTCACAAAGTTATCATACTGAATAATGATAAATTGGGTGCTCTTTCTTCAACAGCATTAGAGTTTGTTAAAGTTTTGGTTTTGAAGCACTTGTAGAAATTGTTGTAATGATGCATTCAAAGGAAAATATTCTAAGGTTTATTTATTTTCTTTCTTTCTAATTTGCATATATCTTGTGAAATTTTCTATTAGGAATATCATGTATTTCCTATTTATCTGCCTGTTTAGGAACTATGGTTTTTCTTCCAATTGCTTTTGAGGATAGTGATTACCTTGAAGTGCCTTCAGTTGGGCTTTTACGCTATCTCTATACAACTTTTGTGCTTCTTGCATGATTTTTCCCATCATTCTTTCTATCTTTTGCATCTTTATGGCTTTATTTCTAGCAGAATTCAACCAAGGAACTCTTTGCCTTTTCGTTGCCACATAACTTGCTATCTACATAATACACTATATTTTGACATTAGGGAACTTTATGATTTATGAGTTCAAAGTTCTTATTATGTAGAAAGTTGTCTGCTTCTTGTTTAGTGTTCACTTAGGAGTTTTCCTACCTTGATATTGTGTATCCTGATGAGGCGATGATTAGTCATTAATTCTACAACCAGCCGTATAACTAGTTGATTTTTGTAGCATTTGATTGCAGAAGTATTTTGACGCAGCGGAAGAATTTAGGGCAATTAGTTTCAATGATTAGGGCTAGAATATGGTGATTGTGATTGGAATAATATAAATATATATTGGTTCTAAAGGAAACCCTTAGAATTAAAATTCTGAATTGAAAGAGAAAAATACAAAACACAAGACTGATTGTTACTATCCTATTTATATTAGTTAGGATCTTTCCTAATTCTATGCTGAAAGGTACTAGCTAATGCTCCTGGATTGAAAGGTTTTCCTATTTAGCTACTCCTAAATAAGGAAGGAAAACTAAAAGTTATTCCTAATTAATTAACATTCTTTTATTTAATTAAGAATTCTAAATAAAGAAGGAAACTAAATGAAAACTTCCTAATTAGTCTTGGATGCTTCTGCGTCATTCTCCTCATTTTTTAAAAGAACTCGGCTTTGATGAGAAAAGTTTGGATATATCGTCGACAAGAATAGGATCAATTTGAAGTGGGTGTTCTCTTTCTGTGACCTATGATTGTAACTAAATCAGATTCGTTAGAAAGAACCTGGATCTCTTGAGTTAAAGCACTAAAAGACTTTGGAAATTTTCTCCATTTCTTTATTATTGAATTCTCAAGTATAAATATACTGCTGGAGGAATAACTACCTCCTTTAAACCAGGAAACATGAAAGTTCAACTTTCAACTTTCTACAACTAAGGGACATGATTAACCATAGTAATTAAAGGTGCGGTTTACAAAGGGCGCGAAGGCTAGAGCCTTAAACACTGAAAGGCGGGCGACATTGATGAGGCAAGAGCTTTTGGGCTTAGGCGCGTGCCTTTGCAAAGGCGCAAGGCGCAGAAAAGGCGCGTTTTGTTTATTTTCTTCCCTGCAGTATCGGCTAGGGTTTCCTTTTATGATTATATGACCTAGCCGCCTCCTCTCTTCTTATAGTATATTTTTACATTAAAATAATAATAATAATAATAATTAACCATTAGTAAATTAAAGGGTGCGGAGAGTTTTACCAACAGAAGGGCGCGAGAGGCCTACTGACGCCCGTTAACACACTTGTTTTAACTGTGCGACGATTGATGAGCGCACAGAGATGTTACGCTTACTGCTGGTCTCTTTCGATGGCCAGCTGACGTTCCGTTTGCCTTTTGCAACAGAGGCGCATAAGGGCGCGGGATAAAAGTGCAGCGTTTTTTGTTTATTTTCTTTCCCTTGCAGTATCGGCCTTATGGGTTTTCCTTGTTATGATTATATTGACCATAAGCCGCCTCCTCTCTTCTATCTGTATAGGTATAATTTGTGTACATACTTAAAATCAATTAATTAAATAATAATATAATAATGAATAATAATTAGTAATTAATAATAATTAATTTAATAAGTGTAATGAAAAAGGAATCCGAAAATCAATCCATTGATTTCCTTTCTCTTTTCGCTACCTTTTCTCAAAATCCTCAGGGTACGCCTTGCACCTACTTTTCCTTTCAATAATAATAATAAGGGAAGAAAAGAAGAAAAATCAACAGATTCTCTCTTTCCTCCTTCAAAACTCAGGTATGCACCTCTTTCTTTCAATATATCTTGCTTCTACTCCCTTCTCTAATTCAATATCTTCAGATATAAGGGGTCATTCTGCCAATTTTTTTTCTGATTTTGTTACGATTTCAGCATAGCAACCCTAACGAGTGTGTTTGGATGCTGAGAAAAGGATAGAAAATTAGAGAAAAAAAGGAGTAGAGAAGAAGAGAGAATTATGGAAGATATGGAAAATAAAGAAGAAAAAGAAAGGCTATACAACTCATAATATGCTGCAGCTAATGTAGTTACAATCATATTCAAAACAGATTCAAGAATCACAATTAAATACTAAACTCATAATATTTTTACGAAAATCAAAATTGGAACTTATTGTCTTTACAATTATATCATTATATATTTTATATTATTAATCAAAATTTTTTTTCCAATGTTTTGAAGTTTAGTATATATATATTTTAATTATTTCTTTATTTTTGCGCCTCACTTCAGTCAGACTAGTGCCTAGGCCCTGAGGCTAGCGCCTGGTTTCCAAGGGCCCTTTGTGCCTTAATGCGCCTTGTGCCTTTAATTGCTATGTGATTAACACAAACTGAACCACCACTAAACAACTGAAATAAAACTGAACAAAGGATGAAAAAACCATCTGCTGAACATGCCTCTGTTCTTGGTGGATGTGACTATTGCCTTGGACATGACCTGGTCTTGCTTTTCTTGTAGTCCCATGTGTGAATCTTTTGTAAACTTGATTGCTGGAATCTGGATTAGCATCATTTGCGGAACTAACAGGACTGTATCAAAATCGAAGACTAAAGAGTTGTCAGCATTTTTTGTGAATTGTGTATTTCTCTTGGTGACAAACTTGCTTGGAAGGAAAAATATTCCTAATCCAGCGAAAGAGAGCGATGTTTGGAGATTGATAAAATCTTAGCCTAATGAAATGAAAATAACAATTGGCAACTACCAACACGTTGGTTTGCTACTGATCAGACAACCTATTTCCAAAAGCCTAGTTTTATAATTAGAAATAGCATAATGTACGCTTTTGGGATAGAAGCCATAAAAAATCCTGTGGGTGAAATTTATGGTGATTTATCGAATATTTATAATTTGGTTTGTTAGTGGTGCAGTATTGGGATGTATTTCTTGAATTTGAAGAAGGATAGTTCTTTGAACATTTGTCTCGTCGTTACATGAAACATGTATTAGCCTATGAATTTTGAAATACTTGGTGTTTTTAATGAGAAGGATATTTAGTTTTATGGGTATTATTAGTGGCCAATAGGCTTTTTTCATTATTATGCAAATATTTAATTTTTTTTTTTGGTAAATTTTTTAAATTTGCATTATAATCTTTTTATGCATTTTTAACATTCTATTAATTCACAGGAATAGTGGCAGATTCCAATGTTTATGATCAAAGTAAACGACTGAGAACTGGTGGTGACTATTCACACACTGCTTATACATCGCCATCTCCATTTCACCCACCTCCTGCCCCTGTTTGGGGACCACATGGGTATTAGTTCTTTCTCATTCTCCTTTCTATTAATATTATTGTTTGCAGATTGTGCTAGTATATAGAAATTCTATGGAAGAAGGTTAGCCAGATTTGTATTTTTTTTTAAAATGACTTTTTCTCTCACTTGCTCGCTCTAGCTATATGGCCCCTCCTCCACCTCCATATGATCCTTATGCAGGCTACCCTGTTCCTCAAGTGCCAATGCCCACTCCTGCCCCTATACCAGCCCCTAGCAGTTATGTACCTGTTCAGGTAATGCTCGTATGATAATCATATCAATTTTTATTGAGTTATTTACACCAAATGATGGGTCATTGTTTTTCCATATTTTCAAGTTATGAACTTGAGCATAATTCCAACTGTGATTCATCACCTTGGCTTGCATTTTAGAATGACTAGAAATCTTTTTCATAGATTCAATAACTTTTTATTTTCTGGTTTTTATCCTCTCTCAATGGATATCTTGTAAATATGATTTTATTTAGGTTGTTTATCTAAACTGAAATGCTGATTTCACCATTAATTTGAAAGTCAATCTTTCCATTAAATTTAATCATGAAAATCTGTTTGTTGTTAATTTTGTTTAAAATCCTCGCTTAAACAAATGGGCAAATTACTATAACCACACCCGGTTTGGTCAACTACACTGGTCAAGTTCCGAACCTTTTTTTTTTTTTTTTTTTTTCCGACCTTTTTTTTTTTTTTTTTTTAAATTGAATAAATGGTTTTGAGGTTTATTCTGTTTTGCTAAATAACCCTATTTTTTTTTTCTTTCTTTTTTTTTTTTTTTTTTTTAAATTGAATAAATGGTTCTTGAGGTTTTATTCTGTTTGCTAAATAACCCTATTTTTTTTTTCTTTTTGGAGTATCGAGAGAGGAGAGATTTGAACCTCGATCTATTTACAGGTCGTGCATACACTTACGATTAGACTATGCCTTGGTGTGCAATGACCCCATTTTGATAACTGTAGTCGTTAGTCAAACTGGAAAAAAAATATTCAAAGGCTCAAACTACATACTTGCTCAAAACGCTCTGTAGTCCCAAAATATTAAATAATGACATGAATTGATGTTCTCTTCCCCAAAGCAACTAGAAGAACTCTCTCAGATCCTTCCATAATATCATTGATAGATGAACAAGGCACTTCCTTTTGTGGCCAACATCACCAAAAGTAACTTAGCAGAGCAGTAATTCACATAGATTTATTAAATGTCTTGACTATAAGCAACTTGGCTTAGAATAATATCCATTTTGGCTGCAGTCAAATGATACAAAGATCATAGACTTCCCTCATTTTCACTGCACTCAATGGGTAAAATGAACACTCAAATTCTCATTTGGCTCTCATAGAAGACCATTGTTGGAGAACCAGTTTTGGTCAGACATGTGAATGTGTTTTGAGAGAGCTCAGTCACTGCGTAGGTCATAGTCCCTAATTTTCATGGGATGCACCCATTTGAACAATACCATCTGAAAGTGGAGAGTGGCAATTGCTTTGTTCATGTGCATGTTTGGATATTTGAAGAGAGAGGAGAGGAGTATAATCTTTGGTTTGGCCTTCGAGAGAAAGAACAGAGAAGAGAGATGTGAGGCTTTTTTTAGTTTATATAGAAGGGTAATTTTGTCAATTCTTCCATATTGGCTGAAATTGAGGAATTTTGATAGCCTATCTAGTAAGCATAGTAAACATTAAGGACCATTTAATTCGGTTTTAAGAATTATCAGGACTGACTATTGAATTAGAACATTAAACTCTAGTTTGTAGTTTTCTGGGAAAATTTTATAGAAAAGTAGCCTAATTTCTGCATGTAAACATCCCCTCATTTTAGTAACATGGTCCAATGTTTTAAGTAAGCTCTGGTGTTTGTCTGATTGAAACAATGATCACTTTGTGGCATGTACTTTGATGAGTGACAGTTGGTTTTACCATTGCATGTAATGAATGATTCAGGCTCTGAGGGTCGTAGATGAATCCTATATTTGGATTTGTTACTATTAAATTACATTTTAGATGATATTTAACATTTTATATTATACCTCTACTTCCCCTCTCCCGTGTTTAAGTAAAAATACTATCAAATTTATTTTCAAATACAATGTATTCATTCTATTTGCAAACATGACCCTTTAATGTTTATGCAATTTCATTCTATCATCTGAAAGCACGACATATTTTTAATTTGAGATTAAGAAAGGATTGAATTCAATTAAAGAGTAAGGTAAGGTGCCTTATTAAGGATATGAGATATCTCTTATGTAACTGTAAGAAAAGAACGAGATGTCAATCATAGGTTGATCAAAGAACCTTCATAATCTATTGTGACCTGAGTGTGGCTTCTGTAAATGGCTGCTTTTACTTATTTTTGTTATAAACGTGCTTGCTTCTATTTAGTCATAGAAATTGTTAATCTTCTTTAATGATAAAAAATGTCATTTTGAATATTTAAATGCTAAAGAAGTTATTGGAATTATATGTTTTAAAGATTGTCTCTATTTCAATAACTTCAAGGTAGATGCAGTTCTATTATAGCCTCAGACGGTTTTCTACCAAATTTGGGCAGCTAGGCTAATATTTTATTGTTATTCAGCTTATCAAGTCATCAACCTAATTCCACACCTTAAACAATGGTTTTTTTTATATAAGCTCTAAAACCTATTACAAATGGGAAGGGATTAATTATCAAAGAAATAATGAAATTTTCCCGATTTGCAATTGTGATCTATAATCTTGAAATGACCATATTTAGCCATGCATAAGTCATGAGGTGCGTAAGTCCTGAGGTGCAATTGCAGTCAGTTTAGTCATGAGATGCAATTGTCTTCAGGTCATGAAAATATTGACCCATACTTTTGTTTTTTTGTTCCTTCGTATTTGCTTTTCTGAAAATATATTTCTACTTTTGCTTATTCATTTCTGAGTAAGAGGATCAAAGTGTTCAGTGCAAAGTTTTTCCTAATCATTCCTTTTATTCTTTGATACTAATGCAGAACACAAAAGATAATCCTCCTTGCAATACCCTCTTCATTGGTAATCTCGGGGAGAATATAAATGAGGATGAACTGAGGGGTCTATTTAGTGTGTAAGAATGTCTTTTCCTTGGCTAGTTTTTCTGAGCTAGTTTATTTAATGACTTCCTGCTGGTTGAGAGCGTTCTGTTCATTTTTTTTTCTCTTACATTCTGATCATGCAGACAACCTGGCTTTAAGCAAATGAAAATATTGAGGCAAGAAAGGCATACTGTTTGTTTTATTGAATTTGAGGTAAGTTATTTATTGCCAATCAGCACAGATGCGCGGTTTTGATTTTTCTCTTTCCCATTAATGAGTAGCATATTGGAGAACAATTTTTAGTTTTATTTTTCCTATGTGTGAGTCAAAGCTTAGTAGTTGTTGTTGTTGTTGTTGTATTTCCAAATTTTGCAGGATGTGAACAGTGCAACCAATGTGCACCGTAATCTTCAAGGTGCTGTTATCCCTAGCTCTGGTTCTGTTGGCATGCGCATACAATATCCTTTTTAGCATTTATATTTTTGACAATGATAATTTACCTTTCTGCTTTCTCTTGTATTCCGTTTTTTCATTCTAGTAAACTTACCTGATTTTGCTTTAGAACTCCACTAGGTAGGTTTTGCCTAATCTTGCTTTGTTTTTATAACAGGTTTTTAGTTGATTTATGATTTTTCTTTCAATTACCCTTGCTTTGTTTTAATTTACAGGCTATTCATGAATTTGGGGTATATGTGGCTGCTATATATTGTTGTCATGTGTTTTATTTGCTGGTAACATTATGTTAACTTTTAATACTATATTTTGCTTATTCAAAATGTCTCTAACCCTTTTACTATTTTCACATGATATTTTTTGGGTTAATTATAACCAACTTGAGATAGTCAAATATACATTTTTGTCCTTACCATCAAAGTTAGGCATTTTTTACTTGAACAATAGTGGAACACGAGGTCCTTGAATTACATAATATTATGAACTTTTACTATAATATTTGCTTTTTAGAGTTTGACTACTTTTTGTCCTTGGACTCTTATAATTTGATTACATATTGTTTTATTCTCCTTTTTGCGTTCTTACATATAAGACATGTTAGGTTCTCAAAGTTTTAAGCTTGCATTGATGATGGCATGGGGACTAAAATGCTCAAATTTGAAAAGCTACAAAGGGTATATTAGGGTGAAGTCTCATGGATTCTTGGGCTATATATGGAATGGTACAAGGAATACAATTAGGAATGTAATGGAATAGAAATGAGAAGGAATTTCTTTTCGTATTTTTGGTACGCAATATGAAATACGAGTTTTGATTCCATTCTTTTGTTTGGTTATAGGAACAGAGGGAAACTGGAATGGAGAATCACTAAAAAGAGCAAAATAAAGGCAACCTTAGTTTTCCCTCTCTCTCTAGTTTTTTTTTTTTTTTTTTTTTTTTTTTTTTTTTTTTTTTTTTTTTTTTTTCTTGGCGGGGTGGGGTGGTAGGAGAAACAAGCACTTTTGTAGGTTCAACTTGTTCTATTTGCCTTTGATGTTAGTTTCTCTTTATTCTTCCAAATATTGGGGGGGTTGGGGGGGGGGGGGGGGGGGGGGGGGGGAAAGGATATTAACTGTTTGATTTTGCTTCTAATATTTTCTGGGGGGGGGAAGGATATCTAACTGTTTGTTTTGCTTCTAATATTTTCTTTTTATTATTCCATAATGTATTTTTGTTTTCCTTGACTGGTAATTTATTTACATATTCTAAGAACCCATTTGGGAAGAGGAAAGATGGAGGCCATCCAGTTGCTTCCCCAAGTGCCAATGGGGCTCCACCAACCTACCAGTAGCTTGAAGGGGATGTACTCTGACCTTTATGCTCCGAGAAATACATGATAGGATGCATCTTGCAGCTGTTCCATGCATCCATTTCATTATCAACATCAGCATCAGCATTAGCATCCTTCTCATGTGCATGAATGCACATAGTGCCATCATGAACGCACCATTTGGTCATGTTATACTAATTTCTTCAGGACATGCATTTGTCAGCGGCATCTTTTGATGTGTGGATAACCTAATAGGGGCACAGATTTGTTTATCATTTGTAGAAGTGATGCATGGAAGTTTGTTTTTTTTTTTAGTTAATTTGTATTTTCCTTCTGCCTCTTGTTGCCCATATTCTACATTAGTATTAGGAAATGCTTTTCTGGATAGACATCTTTATGCTTTCCTTGATAGGCTAAATTGCAACATTACGTAACATGACATCGTGAGGGAGTTGATATTCAGATATCATGACACAAATTTAATAACTCAATTCATTCCATGAATCATGTATTCTTATAGCCATTAACACAAATTCTATATGCTCAATTCATTCCATGAAAGTTCCCTTGAAAGGCTGAATTACAATACATTACTTAACATGACATCCTAAGGCAGCTGATATTCAGATATCATGACACGAATTCAATACCTCAATTCATTCCATGAATCATGTTAGCCATTAACATAAACCCCTTGTTTAGTCTGTTCCATAAAATGAATCACTCTTCCCTCGACCAGTTGAGCAAAAATAAAAAGGTCATGATGATTGATTTGGTGATCAGGTAAACTGAAAGCATAGTCATCTGAAGGATGTCAGGGAATACATCCCCTCTTGATTTACATGCAGGCTTTTTCAGTACAAAAATGAGAAGCTTCTGTTCATTTGAGGATGCTAAGTGCTGCAGCTGCTTTTAATATCTGGTAATGTAGTGGCAAGAAAGTCTTGGTGAAACATCAATGTTTGGGTATTAGATGTTGGATTTAAACTGAAGCAAACTTCATACGAATAGGGGTGCTTGAGATCGCAAAGGTAGGTCTGATTTCATATTTAATAATTACTATATAGGAAGGGACTTTTGGCTCATTGTTTTTTGTTGTGGTATTTGCTGCAATGGAAAATCGAAGTAGGGAAAAAAGTCAGCGCGTAATAGGAACAATATGATAACAAGCAAGTTGTAGTTCTGATGTTAGTGTTTGGGTAGCTTGCGCACTGAAGTCTGCTTTCCATAAATTCTTTGGTACTCTTTTTTGTTATCTTAATTTTTCTCTTTGCTGCTGTTTTATCTATTTATTTCGTGTCGGTTAAAATGGTATGCCTATATACAAATCTCTGCGACTGCATTTGCTCAGTACTATACACATAAAAATTGTTTCAGATGTTCCAGAAATTATGTATATTTTCGTTTCCAGGACGATTGAAACCTCTGACTTATTACAGTCGAAGTAGTGTTGAATTACATCATCTACAAACTGTTAGTCCGCTGTTACTCGGCATTCATTGAAGAAACATGAAAAATCCGAAACCCAAAAAGGGGAATATCCTGTATTTGTTAGGTAGCTATATCTATGTATATGTAAATTTCAAACTAATTTGAAAGGCAAATTGAATCATGAATAACTCTAGTAAAAGGCTTCTTTTGGTACAGTTTAGTGTATTTAAAACTAAACCGAAACTCTTGATTTGATATTCTTTCCCAAATAAAAGTAGACTTATTTGTGTATAAAAATCAAATGAAATTGAATCAAAAATAGAATTCAAATCTAATGGTAAGTTGCTTAAAGCGCAAGGTATCAAGAACGCCATTAGTTAGTGGTGCTCGTTAGAGTTGAACTATGATCTGGTGGGGACGACGATATCTCGCCGAAAAACAGAAATTTTTTGCTTCCCATCGAGTGGCATGACCATTATATGGATTACGCTGTTTTTCAGGGTTCTGGAGTTGCTAATTTCAGTTTTGATATGGTTTGAACATGGAATTTGTTAACTCTCTCTCTTTTTTTTTTTTTTAAATCTATTATTAGTTCTTAATGAATGATAAAAGTGGATCAATAAAAGTGGACTGTATCTCTAAGTAAACTTCCTTAAAAAGGAATTTGAAAAATGGAGTCACCATAGTTAAGAAGGTTTTCACTTGAATTCTATCTGAAATTCGAGTATGATAACACGTCAATTTTTTTGTAAAAAAATAAATTTATCAAACAAATTATACAAAATAAAAATATAAACAGAAAGTTACTTTATAATTTTTAATTTTATAATTTCTTTTATGGTTTCAAATTGCTAGTTCCAAATCCAAACTACCGATTTTGGTTCCTTTTTTGGTCTATAATCAAAAACTGTTAAATAAAAATTAATTTTAGTTTTGACTAGGAATGGAAGTGAGACGGGTATTTTAGGACACCTGCTCCGCTCCAATCCATTTAATGAGCGTATGAATAGTTATGAATAGTTTTAGATGGATAGGGATAGCGAAATTAATATCCGTAATGGATATGGGTATTAGACTCTGAGTACCCGCTATAATAAATGATTTTGTCCATGGGTACTCGCGGGTACCCTATCAATTTATTAGTAAAACATACTTTTAAATAAATTCGGATTTGAACAGTTTAAAATGTGTAGATACCTTACCCATTTAAGGGTACTTTAAATGGGTTTGAAGTAGATAAGGATAGTAAAATTTTAAACGGATTTGGATACGAGTACTTATATAGATATTTAAACGGGTTTGAGACGAGTATGAGTAGTAAATTTTAAACAAATAAGGTTATGGGTAGTTCAAAATTCGCGGATATCCGTCCTGCTTCCATTCCTAGTCTTGACCAATGTGATTCGATTTAATTTTATTTGAAGAGGAGTAATCTAAGTCTGAAACGGAAAATGAAGGGTGCAATGAGCATTATAATGAAAGGGGTGAGTTCATTAATCCTTCTAAGAAAGAGTATTATGACTAAGTGACGATACGTGAAAAAATATTGGTTGAGAAGAAAATTGGGTTCGATGAGTTCAAGAGTGGGCTTAGACTTAGAAAAATATTTTGATTTTAGCATGAAGCACTTTATGCAATTGGACAATGATGTTTATTTCGGATTGGTTAAGCTTTTTTATGCAAATATGTTGGTGGAGAAGAAAAAGGACAAAGATAGAAAAAAAATTGCTCTATTTTCTATGGATAAAGGATGTGAAGTAGAGATTAATAGCGGCTCAATATATAAATTCACTCATGAATTTTACAACTTTAATCTTGTGGCACCCTGAATTTTATGGATGACCTATCATGAACTTGAATTTTAAATTTTAGTAATATTACACACCTTTCGACATTAACATTAATAATTTTTAGAATTTTGGCTTTTATCTTCAAAATATCATCTTAATATGTAGTTAGCATAACTTTTGCAATAATAATTTGCATAAATTTTAATTTTTTAATGAGTGTGTAATTGATCTAATTTTGAAAGTTGAAGTGCTCAATAAAATAAATTCGAAATTGAAGTATTTAATATGTGTAATTTTATAAGCTAAAGTGTTTGATGTGTCGAAATAAAAGTTGAGGGTGCTATAATATTAAAAATAAGAAAGTTCAAGGGTAAGTTTATTTATTCGGCGAATTAATAAATCTGTACTTCATAGGGTAGCTAGGATACCACAATTGCTTTTGACTCAATTATGAAAGATCATGTAATCTTTAAAGGATTGAAACTTAAAGCTTTTGAGAAAAGTCAATTAGCAGAAGACTATGCAAGTGGAGAATTAGCTAGTACTAGAATGAAAGCATATCTTAGGCTTTTGCATTTGATAGTATAGTTTGTTCGAGCATACTACCAAAATCAGGAACAATTGTAATGAGACCCTAATTCTGTAGCATTTGATGCACAACAATCATATAAGTTTAGCTTCTACAATTTTGAAAAATATTACAAACAACAATAGCATAATGAGTGAAGATATATATAATCTAAGGAAGAATTCCTTTATTAACCATACATCGTTGATTTCTAAGTGCATGAAGCTTTTATTGATTTAGGGGAAGAGCGCAAAAGAATTAAAGCAATTGAGAAAATAAGGGTCAAATATTTGAACTAAAGCAATATAATGAGGACTAAAAATAGGGCATTATTGAAATATGAGAAAGACAATGATGTCACAGAGTGAGGAAGCAAGGATGTGAATAGGACAGTGAAGCATGAAAAGTTTCAAAGCAGGATTTTCAGTTAGATCTGAATACATATATTCTGAAAAAACTGGATGAAATGAATACTTCAGTCTAGACACTGATCACTAAGGTTGATGAAAGATATGCCCAGATTGCTAAAACAAAAAAAAAACAAAAAAAAAAAAAAAAAGCCAGATTGCTAAACAAAAAAACAAAAAAAAAAAAAAATGATGGAACGAAATAAGAGTCACTATTAGAAATCAAATAATGCACTCACTGCAAATTTTCTGACACCTGGAAATATGGAAGTAGATAAGAGCCGTGATAAGGTTTTTGAAGAAATAAAACAAAAAAAAAACAAAAAAAAAAAAAAAATGATGAACGAAATAAAGCACTATTAGAAATCAAATATGCACCTCACTGAAATTTCTGACACACCTGGAAATATGGAAGTAGATAAGAGCCGTGATAAGGTTTTGAAGAAATAAAGTGAAGATAAAAATGGAGAAAAAGAGCAGATTGTGCACAAAAATAATGAGGAAAGGAATGGTGAAGAAAATGCAACTGAAACGAAGCTGCTCATGATGATGAGACACGGGCCCAGATGATGATCCAATATGTGGACAGAGTTTGAAAACTCTGGTTATGTTGAGCTCTTTGAATTGTGCAGGAAACACTTGAAGATGTCAATGCAGAAGATAAGTGAACCTGTGCTAGAGTTGTCCACCTTTTTTATTTATGCCTGTTTATATGCTAGTTTGGTTTTAGTTTGTATCCATTTTAAATTTTTTCATGTTATCCAGTTTAAACAGCATGTCCAGTTTGTGTAACTTTTTGTCCAATTTTTAATTTTAGCGCCAATTTATTCAAACATATAATTAACTATATTAGTTAGTTAAGCACTTTTAAGTAAGTGTATTTGTTAAATATTTTCAATTGCAAATGTTCATATATTTTGATTGTCTATTGTCAATTTTTAATTTTCACCTCTATGAATTGCCTTGGATTATCAAACCAGGTTAATATGAACGATGTGATAACTTTGAAATGCTAAACTGAATTCTTCATAAACATTTAAATTCGGACATATTTGACATTTGAACACTTTTTTTAAACTACATATCCACTTTTTAACAACTTATCCACCATAAAATATCCTCGTATAATGGAAAAAAAAACAAAGCACATATTTATAAAATTGAGATAGTAATCATCAAACAGTGGACATATTTGAAAGTGGATGATGCATTGCCGCTGCTGCTTCCTTTATAATTTCAGTTTCTACCTCAATGATAGTAGGCAACTTTCCATTCCTAATTAAGTTGTTCTTGGATGTGTGTTTGATTCTGTAGTTATTGTCACTATGACACCTTAGGATTTCTATCATGCAAGTTTGTAACGTCAAAAAAACTTTATCCATTCAATTGGGGAGAAAAAAACATGTCTATAAGACTGTTTCAACTAATTGGTCAATGTTTATTAGAGCCTCTTTGTGTTTGATTGAGTCTATTCCTCTGAAAAAACTAAGGTCTAAAAAAATATTTAAATCAGGACTATTTGGTGTTGACAAAGTAAACTTATATTTGGACATAATTGAGATGAAAATTGTGCAAATTCAACATACCACATCTATTTATGGCTTAGCATTATCTTGCTGGATTAAAATGGTGTTTGAACCCCCTAATGGTCAATTTTCTCTAATTGCAGGTACATCTTTCTAATTAGAATAGCACCTTTGGAGGTTGAATGTATTGCTTTGTTTCCATTATACCTGTTGAGCGGTTCTTGCTATTCTTTTTAGCAAGCTCCGCATAAACAAAAGTCCAAATCTTAATCTTACCATTGAAAAAAGTTGTGTATTTGAATTAAACCTTGGTCGAGTGACAACTGCAAAAACATTATCTTTGGAATAAAGCGTTTGCTCTTATATTTGTACAAAGGTTCCTCCTCATCAGGTGCAAGGTAAAACTTTTGTGTTTCTTTACACATATAAAACCATTTTTCATTTGTGAATCACATTTTGCATGTTAAGAATGAGAGTTTGTTGTTAATTGTACCTGCAACGAGCATTGATATATAAATTGAACTTTGCTCTTCTTATTTTCATTCTTCAAAAGTGGCTTGATTGCA